TCGGACGGGATTTAAGCGCAGAAGTGCTATCCGCGACACAGACGCCTTCCCAAAACTGCATTGTGATTTAGAATTCAACATTGCATTCAGTGTTAACTACTCGCTCCAATAAAAAGGGGAAATCAGATTTCAATGGGCGACGCAAACTTCAGGAATTAGACGACTGTGCCATAGGATCAGACGTCAAGAGTGTTTATTCAAAAGTCAGGAGAACCAACAGCGCATGTAGAATGCACAAAAGAAGTTGTAACCCACACTGTTCCACCTATACAAGTTTCATGGAAGTTTGTTCTACACAGCCAATCTATAAATTTTGCGACCTTCACCAGGACAAAAATACAGACTTACTGGTAACTACGGACTTCTTGAAACACAGATTATTAGACAGTAAGTGAAAACAGAGAGCCAGATTTCGGATGAAGGCAGTTACAATGACTGTTGGGTTCCTTTTCATTCACACCCCAATACCGAAATTGGTTACCCTGAATCTCGTAGAAAATATGTGCATGGTGGTCCTACCGAGAAACCCGAATTACACTGCATCTGAATGCTAAAGGTGTCATTTTGGGCTTGTTGGGGAATAGGTGAGCGTCCAAGATCAGCCGTACTCAGTTAGCAGAAACAGAATTAAAAACTTAACAAAGGACAGCAGTTCTCTGCTGTAAAACTGTTTACTTGTATATAAGGGGATGGGGATATTGGCGTCTTTTCCATTGAGTTAAAACTGAAATAAGTTTCAAACATGACCCAAGGGTTAATGACAAATGGATACGTAGGCGGTCGTGAGTAGGGAACAAGCAGTTGCTCATCAGGGCGTCCACAAACAGCCAAGATTATATAGTATATGAAGTGGTTTTTTCACTTAAACTGTTTCCAAAAATAGTATTCAGAATAGTTTCACTAAATTTAGGATAGCCTTGCAGAATTTTCTGGGGACAAAGCCAAACCAACCTATCGCCGTAATGCTTTCCTGTTAGCTGGGAACAGCAATGAGAATATCCTACAAAATTATTTGATCGTTGGATGAGTTCCCATCACTTTGTGTCCTTTGGTGACAATATTGTGCTTAAGGATGAGTAGTGAGTGTAAAATTTGAACAGCAGAGTAGGGAACACTTTGGCACCTAGAGAGACGTCCGAAGGAGACTATGGCAACTCAGGTTTAATATACGCAGTCTGAAGTGAAACGGCCGGATGGCTCAACATATGCCAGAATGAGCAGGTACACAAAAGGTTACATACCAGACAGAGCTACGCCGTTAAAATACCGTAATAACGGATTAGTCTGGATGAGCGGTTGTATCTTTTGCTGCTATGAGAATCGATCAGTAGAAACATCTGGTAAAAACCAACATCCTAGCCGAACATACTGTTTTTTTCTGGTGCAGAGTGCATTGATCTCCGACAGAAAGGCTGGGTTCTTTTTCAGCTTTGAGTATTCGTAAGCTAGAAAAAGTTTCAATTTGCATAGCTAAGTTCAGCTCAGTGGGACCTTCAAACAGTGACAAGTGAGAATGTTTCAGTAGGTTCGTCTAGGTTGATAAGTAATCCGAATCATCATCCTTGACCCAGCTTTCACGATCCTCATTAAGAGCCAGATAGGAACACGGTCTTGGGCTGACATTCAGAAACCCGAAGTGGTCAACCTTTGGACAAAAATTCACTACGCGTTTCCTCGTGGTGAACGCAGTAGGATTCAATCACCTGATCTTTAGGTTCGACCATCACACGCACTACCAGGCAATCGCCAACCTCAATTTTATGGATGGATTACATGAAATGAAGAGCCGTTTGGATGCATTTACATTGGCATCGATATTAGCATAGTGTTGGGATTCGGAATGCCAAACTTGAGTGTGAGTATCGAGGGATCTAACTGTTGTGTCCACTTGACGAGTCGCAGCCAGCACAAAGCGCGTGGTGGACTTCCCTCTTAGTACTGACCACTTCTGCCATGTAATGTTGTTCTAGGTTGTTGGATGTCGCTAACGCAGGTCACGTGGTTAGAGCATAGGCACGGTCTGGGCTGACTCTCGATAATATTGAACTGGCTGGCTAATGATAATCGGCAGTGAACCCATATTGGTTGCTTCGATAATTTTCATGTCTCGTTTGAACGGTCGTATTCTTGTTCTGGCGTGATTATTCCGGTGTCCAAACGAAAGGGAAGCACTGGACTCGAGTTTCGCTCTTATTAGGGCTCATCAGCAGTGCACATCCAATGACCGTGCCGGAATTTGAACCCTGGACATCTGACATGCGAGGCGAGTGTGTAACCACTACTCCACCAACGCACATTTGAAGCATCTGAATTTTCACGTTTGAACAGGCGAACGTGTTCACACTTGAGCGATGTGATTGGTGTGCCCGACTCATCGAACGACGACCCAGTAACTGTCCTGGTTGTGACGATTGGTTGACCCGCCAGTCAGGTAGCGTGACACACGCTTGAAACTCACTGGGCAACTTTTTGGTTGCAATTATGGGGTTTTGCGGGATCGTCCAACCAAAGACCTCCCATCGCATACAAACGGGGAAATCTAATTACAAAATGATATAGACTACTTTGCTGTTGCAGCACGCGTATAAGAAACTACACACTGCAACACCTTGCCGTGACGTCCTGTCAGCTGAGATTGGCTGGTATGATTAAAGGTGGTTATACTATGGGAAAACTAAGTTTCAACAGCACAGTAGGCCAATTGACTAAGTGTTGTAACACACATAAAGTCATTACATGGATGGTAGTTACAAATGAAATACCGTGGTTTGAATAAACTGCTTGGGTTGTACATATACCCTTAAAACTTGTTTTCGGTATGTTCCAATAGGCTTTGTTTCAGTTAACAATGCTGAAACCGGGCAATGTATTCGTGTTTCGACTGACCAACTTGCAAGTGCACCCTGTTGAAAAAAGCAATACCAAACCCGACAGAATTTCTTTTCCCCTGTTAAGGCAGCTTCAGCAGAAGGTAGCATTGTGGTATGAGCGATGTCCAGAACCCAAATGGCTAACGAGATAGATAAAAGCCGAAGTCGATCGTGTGAAAAATATTTACACCAACACTTGGATTTACAATAAAACTAGGAAGTGTCGGGAGCTCTCCAGAAGCACCTTGATAGCATTAATAGGTCTCATTCAAGCAGCGTGAATACAGATAACATCAAGTATGAATCCACAGGCTTTGGAGACGTAACACACACAGGCGGCTGGTTCCACTGACATTAGCAACACATACCGTGCAGATAATGACGTTCCCACTAAGACAAACAGGGCTTGTGGCGCCCGATCTTCTGCTACCGCTTGCTCTAAAACTGCATGCGAATATCCTCAGCGAACCCATTACCCATTAGTGCTTCATGTGACTGATGGAAGACTACCGAAATTACTCCTGTGTCTGAGTAAAGTAGGCTGAACTAACGGGCAAATTACCAGCACATCAATACTTCGAACATTGCTTGAGAGTATAGTCTTGTCGTGACTAAAATCCGGTCAGTTAACGAACTGCTTGGAGAAAATCACGCTGTACACTGGATGCTGTCGAATATCTTTTACATTCAGTTTCTTTAAAGCTTAACAAGAAATAAAAATCATGTGTTTGCTATTCCCGCCTTAGATGAATGCGTTTGACAGTATCGATTGCGATCTGTTGTTACAGCTTCTCACCGCCGAACGCAAGCAACGATGTTCATCAAGCCTGTGTATGACTGTTCTTAATCGAATCCAGTACGTCAGGGTAACTGAGAATCATCACCAACCGAAACAGACATTTTACAAGGTGCTACCTTTTTTGGCTCGTAATTCACGACCGAAAAATCGCTCAGCTGTAGCACCCTTTCAGCACCTAACTGCCATGCCACCAGAAGAAAACATGAGGGCTGCGACACTGCCAGGTTTCCTAAGCCTAGAAAGAGAAATTCGAGAGGCAGAGGGTCGAACTACGTGAGAATCATCACCAACCGAAACAGACATTTTACAAGGTGCTACCTTTTTTGGCTCGTAATTCACGACCGAAAAATCGCTCAGCTGTAGCACCCTTTCAGCACCTAACTGCCATGCCACCAGAAGAAAACATGAGGGCTGCGACACTGCCAGGTTTCCTAAGCCTAGAAAGAGAAATTCGAGAGGCAGAGGTCGGGTTCGAACTACGGACCTCCCGGTCAGTAAATTCGCGCTCTAACCACTGAGCCATATCGCCATCCACCACCTACCTGTTCCAATTTCGTCCTACCGGTGCGAGTAGGCTGACGACATTGACTGATTGTGAACATCGCAGCTTAGAGGGAATAACAAACACGATTTGATGAGACATTCAGATGGTTCCGGAAACGCTCCGTTCTCCCTAACGTTTCACAGTACCATGATGTCATTTTCTCACTCTCTCCAAGTAAACACAATCACGAGTTTGTTGACGGTCTGTCTCTGAACATGCCGCTTATAATTCAAGCGTTAGATGCTGTGAAGAAATTTCACACACCTAGAGAGTTGTATTAGCTCTGATAGAAGTCAGTGAACGTTTGTCAACTTCAGTCAGGTTCGGCATCAAAAAAAGCATATCACTGGTCGCGTTAATCAGCGATCACATACAACCCTGGATTTCACCGGCAACAAATGATACGCATTTTCTGCTTCCAGCATTCCAAAGGCTAAACAAATTATTCCTGACACACTCATGACGAATGTGCATGGTTACCATCATCATCGACAGCATGACACCAGTGTTCAACACCGGTGCTTCGCTGCCGTACAACCATGATTTACTTGAAAGCCTTATTGTGAAGAAAAGAATAAAGGTGGACAGGGAAGGGACTAAGTGTTAGCTTACCACAATCATTCCGAGGCGCCTACACCTCCAGTTGTTCACTCAGGCAATCTGGATAGAAAATGACAACAAGAACGCCGCTGACATCAGTTGGCGGCCATATCTTGTAGTGTCTCCAAACAGGCACAGTGAGGATCACGCGGTCCCCATCCTTGAGAGTGAGCAACTCCGACAGCATCTAAACGTTCCCTAATGTCCTTCGTACCCGTATGCCACCTCTCTGGTTCCGCCACTCTGAATTGGGCATGGAAAACAGCACTCTATTCGGCAAACGATGGTTCGGCATAGGAAACACATTCCAATCAACGCAGCTTCTGGTGCTGGACACAGTCTTCAATGGAAGTACACGTTGCACAACCGAAAACACGTTGATGAAACAGCCGTTTGCCCATCTCTGTGCCCAGTTGTACTTTGATCAACCAATAATCTGCGCAGACTTCGTAAACTGACACTAATCTAATGAATACCACACTAGTGTGGTCTTCTCTACCAGTATCACCTGCTGATTAACAATAGGAATCTAAAGACGGTTATGAATCCCATGTAGTTCCCGGGGCCTTTCATCGAAGGGAAGGGGGCATTTTCTACTATACACACTGTACAAAGATTATCAGATTGTGCTCATGTCTTCACCGACTGCGATTGGACGGTTTGCTAGTGAGAAGCAAGTTGCGACTGAGCGCAGTGGTGGATCGACCAGCGCATGGATTTCGGTTGTTAATATGTGGATTGTACTGCACCTGAAAAAAGTATGGTAGGGTACGGAAGAGCGCTCTTATTGCTATCGGTAACTGCGAGCCATGAGAACATTAGACTCGCTATTGACCAAGGCTGGATAGAAAAACGAACAAGGTGTAGAGAAGAAAACGAATTGGGGAATATACAAATACAAGCATCCCTCGACAACAAGGATGGGGCAAGTGCGGAGGAGAAACGGGGTCATTCAGGTTTTTATGCCTAACTTCTTCTTTTCTTTCTCCTTCTTCCGATATGTTTCCAACTGTCTGGTTCTCCAGTCACTTCGTTTTAGCTTGATCGGCCGATTTCCTACATATTTACCTGAAACGGGGAATGCACGAGAGGTAAAGTGGAGATGTACTGGAACTACTTAGGTTGGTACGTTAAAAGCAGTCACTACTACCTTACAGTGGGCAACGATTAACTCTATAGATAAGTGACGTAATTTTGTTCTATATGATACCCAGGACCTGTTGATTTTGGGCATTGCTCAATCTACCGACTAACAGATCACGTGCGCATGAACGATGTACACAAATACGGTGGGGAAATGTTTGTAAGTCAGTTGGTAAGCTCGGCGCCCGATCAAGAACCTGATCAACGCTTAGCTGAGCAGTACTACGTTGTTAGTGATTATTAGCGGCTAATACCTGAAGGTAAAAAAAATACAAAATACGATCCAGGCTATGAATTATCGAGTTCCTTTAGATGCGGCCAGAGGGGGTGCAAATGGAACAACAATAAAGCCATCCCCCAAATAATTAATTGTCTTCAGCAGGGCGCGCTTCATCGCTCACTGGGAGACCTAAGATCTTCTTGAACTGTTTTTTTTGGCTAACCGGCCAGAAATCCTAACAGCAGAGAACAAGCCCTTAGCGAAATATACTCAATTGCATACCAATTTGATTTTCACGGGAGATCCAACTGAATCCCTCTTCTATGATGTTCTTTTTCGAAGTTTTCAGAACCTTATGAGTTGTGTGTTACGTCTACAAAAGCACCTGACGAGTTTGTCCCAAACGATCACTTCATTTACAATACCAGCTAGAGTCGATTTTATGTGTAATATTTGTAGTGGAAAGTCACTTGATGTCTTCAACATCGGAGGGAGCTTGCTTGGCTAATTGGTGAATTACCTAAAAGCAACAAATTCATTAGAATCTCGGATGCACACAAATTAGTATGCAATTGATCGATTCAGTCGAGGCAACTACGACTTGGGGAATCCACTTGCGCGTTACACGGACGTGAGCAGGATGCACTTAACTCCAACTGGAGCAGCTTCCTAAAGCCTCACACAGCTCATGAATTCAGTGAATCTATGCTACTATGCTGAATTACGAATATGCGTAATACGCAGAATGGGCGACAAGTGTATCTTCTATGAACTAAAGCAAAATCTCAAGACCGAACCCAGTTCAGTCATCAAACCATAGAGCATCTACAAACATGAGGTAGAAAAGCTTACCGTTCATCTCACGCATTGCTCTAGTGAAATCGGCCGGATCAGAGAAGCTCACAAAACCGTAGCCACGGGATTTTCCTGTGCGTTTGTCCCGAACAACCTTCGCTTTTTGGAATGAGGCGTAACGGTTGAAAGCCCGGGTCAGTGTGTCATCGGAAACCTCATTGCCCAGATCACCACAAAATATTCTGAAATCGTCTGCACGATAGAAAATGAACACACATGGGAAATTCAAAAATGGGGCAGATGGCTCTTCAGGAACCACAAGTTGCGAACTGACGACTTTTCAATGTGCCGTCAGTCATACCCAAGGGTGAAATATGGGAACAGTACGGGCTTTATTGGGGATTGTTCATGAATCACGCACATAGTTCAACCACGCTTCTCTTCACTACTGATTTCCGCGGAGTGGAAAATAATAAACGCGAAAAGTAATCAAGTGGAACTGCTAGTATGGTCACCGGATTCAGGTGTTGATTTCATCCACCTCACCGAGAACTCAGATTTCCCAGCCAAGCGCAACCAGATTCGTCCGTTTGTCAAAGCAAAAAAGAAGGGATGTGGGCGTCGTCAGAGCCACACTTGGGATTTAGAAGATAGGCGCGAACCGAAAACAGACAAACGGCCTTACAAATGCACATCATGTTCATCACTTGGAAGTGCGATCACAACTCACCAACATCAATATATGATAGCCCACATATATGATGCCCACAAAGCAAGCTACCTCAACAGCACAAGGCACACGAGGTGATGTTCGGCCTCCGATCGACGAATCGAAGGCTGAAAAAAGAACACCATATTTAGCCCCTGAGACTCCGTACAAGAACCATGTCCCAATATCTGGCTGATGGACAGGAGGCACTTTTTGAATGAATTAGGGACCATAGCCCATTGTATAGACCCTAAAGTTACCAGAAAATTCAGGCTACTAGCACTTGAGTCAGTAGCACGTGTAGCAAATGCGTTAAAGGTGCCACTCCGATTCTGCGGTCTTCAGTCAGTAATAGAAAGTGGCAAGACAATTCTCCCGGTAATAAAAGAAGACTAATATATTTCGGGTAGTCCTTACTATCCAGAAGACATAAATTGGCATACTGAGAGGCCTTGAAGCACCTGGATTAGATCATTTTATTTGGTGTCATAGAAATGAAGTGGCTCACATGTCTAGAGTACATCGTACGGCATAAAAAACAAGGAAAGAGCGACGCCTTCCAAATGATACTTAAGTGCAGAACAAGTTGAAGTCATGTGTACTTTTTCGACCTGACAGCGATTCGGTTGCGTTGGTTTTTCCGAATAAATGACCAGCAGTATGATCACAACTCTATTTGATCACCTGAGTCTGTAGCTTATGTAAAATCAGGTAAGATGTAGCGTACATTTTCAGGAGCACAAAAATCGTGTGAAATGGGGATGCGTACCATAAATATTCCAGATACTAGACTGGGCATACAATCTTGCATTCAAAATTCTAGTCAGATTTGCCAAAACAGTTGACCGGTTGAATCTTGTGGTAGAACCATAGTGGCGAGAAAAGCCGTGAGTTGAAAAAACGCTAACTTACTTGGATCCCATTCGGCCAAAGTAGGGTCTTCCCAGGTCATACCGGCAGCCACACGAATGAAACGCTTTTTCTTTCCCGTCTGAGCAGGAGCAGAAGAATTGGTGGAAAGAGGTGGCCGGTAGACAGGCGGTGGAACGGTAGGAGCGATCATCGTCTGCACGACTTTCGTAGCATTTGGTAGTGGTGCCACAGCTGCTACCACAGCAGCAGCTGCTGCTGTAGGTTTCGGAGTTGTAGAGTTCGTCTGTTGCATCACTGGGGTAAGAGGAGGTTTCGTAATACTGGCTCGGACCTTTTCTGTTGAAAACAGATGGGACGGAGAGGTGGCCTGTGACCGACGGTTTGTGCGAACACGTACCGAGATTTTCGATACGAAGGGTGACAAGCAAGTTTGAATCTTTTAAAGCGAGTTAGTCTATGTTCAGTCGAAGTTGATACTACGCTTTCGTCAGGCTGTTAGTCACTCATCGACAAACGAACACACTGATAGGCGCTTTCAGAAGAAGTGAACTAAACACGGGGTGCATATTTGGGCGTAACGGAACCATATCATATATATATATATATATATATATATATATATATA